TATAGCAACACAACAAAAATGACAAGCATCACCAGACTCACCTCAATAATTAATTTATAAATGCCATATACAAACACAACAAAGTAGTTTCAACATGACCAGCACCAACTACTCAATCAAAATACAGTAAACAAGTGTGCTTCAGTGCAAATTTCAACAATCATCCAATTCCTACTGTGTTTCTTCACAGTCGCACGTTGACTCAAATTCGTGCACCCTACGGTGAAAATTTCGGTGGCAGCCGCAAGCTGCACACCGCAATGCTGCACTTGTCCCCTCCTCTCCATCCGCCATGAATTCTCTGCAGCCATCTACAGCATGCCCTCCGATATTTGCAGCATGGTTCTTTTGACACTCTCCATACCTCGTCGCTCTCCTCCTTGTGCATTGCCCTCTAACAAAGGGTTCACACCTTCTCACTACTACTAAGCGCTTCTTCATGTCGAATTTTGCCTCTAGAGAGAAGTTTGTTTTGGGGGTTATGTATTGTAGTAGAGATCTAGGAAGGAAGTTGCCAGCTACCTTTATTCGATGCTCGAAATCTAACTCTAACTTGCATATATATAGCAAGTATCTGTTAGTTCCGTTGTTTTCTCTTGGTAAGGATCACATGACCTCTATCCACTCAATGCCCCTTGAGATAGTATACATTATACAACCTAAAGAGCCGGCTGAATTGATGGTTCAACCAATTCCACCTCACAAATGCCACAAGGATACAATCCTTGGGCCATAGGGTAACCCTAGATTGATGGGAAGAGCTTTTGCTTTGCCTCCCACTTTGATTGGTTAGTTATAGAATGACTACCAAAGGGCCCTTGAATGAATTACATTGTGCAAGGATAGGGCCCCAGCTACAGAGAGAAAGGGAGCTAACAATGGCTGGCATGGGATATGAATATCCACGTCGATTGATAGGCCAGCTTGCCCAATTGCCACTTCCTCCACCACCGACTCTTAATATGTTTTCATCTCCTCCTCCTCCGCTCTCTATGAAGATGTATGTGGTAGCAGTGAAAAAAAGATTGGGTTGTGTACTCATAGTGCTATTTTTACTACATTACTAAGTTTTACTATCCATTGATGCAAATGTGCTAGGATTGTCAATTAATATACATCTCCCTATATAATAAATTCCAAGCAAGAGAATTAAGTAGGGGAAAAAGTGTAGTGTGAGTGTCCCTGAGTCTGTTAGTACCTACAAACAATCATTTGGATGAAAAAAAGGATGCTTCCATCCCAAAACCAATTAATATACATCAACTTGGTTTTAAGATAAACTTTTACCAAGAATGGATTAAGAAAAGCGCCACATTCAAAGGGGCAGAAAAGGCAAAGAGAATACTACCACAAATAGATATATGTCTTGTGAATTGTTGATAAGCTTAGTTAAGTCTGCATGCCTTGAGGAATAAATTTTAAGAACCACAATCCTTGGTATTTTTCTTCCGCTCTTTCTATTGGTGGTTGCCATTGTGAGGCAAGGTGACCTATTTCTTGCTTTACGATTAGGCAAATCACGTGGAATCATGAATCTTTTTTCCTTCACAATCTCATAAATGATTTAATTTAATGAGTCATACATCCACAATTCTAATGTAAATTACAAATTTAAAGCAGAATTCACCATAAGTTCTGTGGCTTACAGTCTCTAGATAAAAGTTTGAAGATATAGGTGGGTCGGGTTAGCACTCTAAATTTGTATGTGGACCACAAAGACTGTTAGCTCAAATGAACTTAGCACCCTTGAGAAAGAGATAAACAAGTACATTACCCTATGTAAGCTAATAGCTTCACATGGCGTAGGATCTGTAGCAGCTCAATTTCAATGGAGCTAGAGTTTCTGACGGTAATAACTGTTTGAGCAGCTAAATGTGTATCATAATGATAAAGCCTATAGGCACTTGTTTGGATAAATTTAGCAAATAAGGAAGCAAAGATGAACTGTGAACACATAATTGAAAGAATCGACATCGTGAAGACAACGATAAGCGTTACGCGACATCAATTAACAATGATACAGCGTCTTGTTTTTGGCTTGCCTACCAGAAGATTTACGAGTAGATGACAGACAACATTGAACATGTAGACCATAAGCATGTTCTCAGGATTCAACATCTAGAGACCTTTCTAGCTGTTATTGAGCGATTCAGCACTTGATTTTGTCAGCTCAAGGTAAAAAGGGAGATGTCACTTGACATATGAAGGATCAGAGGTTGATGGAGAATAGAAAAGGATATGCTTTCGGCAAAAGATGGTAAAATCTGACCCTTCTATCTTCATAAGGGAGTAGCTAAATTCTTGTCTAGCTATCGGATAAATAATATATTGAGAATTTCGTTGGATGCTACTATTCATTAGACTCTTTGGCTCATAAAATGCCTATGGCATAAAATTCTAGTAAATAATTGTCAGTTCCGCTAATGATTTGGGGGACTTCAAGCTTAAATTGTGTGACTAAGCATATGGTTCTTGAATCAAAATTGCCTTTTGCCATTTTTCTGAAGGCCTCTCTTTGCCCTAAAGTACACTACTTACAATATTGACACCAAAAAATACATTTGACAACACCTTTGGTAGTCACAAAAAAAATGAGTGGACAATACCTCAGTATACGATCGCGTGCAGTAACTGGGAGTCCTATTACACCTAACAGTAGGACATTATCCAATACTTAACAGAGCTTTCTCACTTAGTTATGGTCAGTTGCCTACAGAATTTGATGGAAATTAGTTTTCAGAGGATAAGAACCCTTAAGGTTAAAAAAAAGCTACTATAGCATGTCAATATTCAAAATAAGTCATAAAAAAAACTGCATAAATACTTCAATAATATATACATGTTTTTCCTCAAAAAGAGAAAAAGGAAAAAGGCGGTAATCAACAAAAAGAAATACCGATATATAACAGTAATCACTCTAGATATAGAAAAGAAAGTCGCCGGTCCCTCAAAAAAGAGGGTATTACTGAATTACTTGAATACTTTCTAACAGGATATGTACCAAACTTCACCCCTATCAGTATGTTTGTCTCACAAAAGTATGAGCTGCATACCTCAAATACATAACTTTAGTAGATGTGCTAGAGCTTCTTGGTCTTTGTCATCGGCAATACATGCATCCAGAGAATACCATGATCCAGTCTCCAGTGTATTTGGAGCTAAGACAATCATACCCGCCTTTATGGGACTATTTGTCCCATTAGATGTATTACTCTATTGTTTACCATCTATCCTGCAGAAACAAAAGGCCAAAGATAATGCATCATACACCAAGTGGCAGTATATTCTGAGAATTTAATCCCAGACATTAGATTCTTGGGATTTTTAGATATTGGCCCTCTAACTCATTCATTTTAATAAATTAGTCCTCAAATAATCATTAAAATTTTGTTTAGTGCCCCGATCCATACAAGTTATTCCAAATTAGTCCCTCACATTGGTTTTCTATTCAGTTCCTTAACTGTGGTTGGTTTAGTCATTAATCCAAAACGGTAGGTTACTTTTTTACCCACAACTCATTCATTCCCTCCACAACAAATTTTCTTCTCTTTCTCTTATGTAAAATGGGTTTTGGGAAAGATGACCATTGGAAGAGAAGAAGAGGGTTTCAGGTTTGGGTTTAGACGGGTTTGGGTTTGAATGTAAGCTTTAAAAGAAAAAAGAAATGGTATAGCTGGAAACCCAATTCAAGAGTTAATTTAATGAAACACTCCTCGCAATCCATACGGCGTTTCACACGACACTAACTTGAAGTACCTCATGCAAATTGGGGGACAAAAATGCAATCTTACATTATTTGGCGAACTAACATAAAACTAGATTTAAGGACCAATATATACAAAAATATTTCCTTACTTCTCAAAAATCATATTATTCCAGTCCTCCATAAATTCCATAAACAACAGAACTTCCCATATTCAGCTAAACAAATTAATCCAAGTTAAATTGAATTTATAAGCATTCATAGAAGCTTTGTTCCTATGGAAATATAATAGCTGGTAAGATAATCATCTATGGTAAAATGGAATAGCTAAATATATGTTTTTTTGAGATAAATAGTAGCTAGCAACATAATCATCTGTTGTGAAACTGAAGTCTAGTATGTATTTTTGAGATAAACAGTGAGGCCAGTGCTCCAGTGTTCTGTTGCAAGCTCTTAATGAAACATAATCAAAGGCTTACAAACATGTAAGAAGACAACCCGGAAACTTATACAGTATTTGCGCCTTCAAGAACCAAAAAAAAAAGAGAGAGAGAGAGAGAGAAGAAGAAGGAAAACCTAGTTTAAACAACATATGGACTCCAAACAGAGATCATTGAGTGGTGTAAATGTCAATCACAACAATCATCAACTCCATTTGGAATGCTTGTGGTTGATGCTCAACACTCCTGTTTTGCAGAACAATATTAAAGCCCACATATAACCTAGTCTTCTTTGGCTCTTGGCGACATCAACCCCCAAAATTCTTGCTTGCATTATATTAATCTTTAAATGATGTGTTAACGCACTGTATCACGTTGGGAACAAGACTAGACTGAAACCAACGTTAGACAACACTTTTCCCGTTCATCCAAACAATTTATGTTGACCTGATACCCTAACCCCTTTGGCTCTAGCCAGTGTATATCTAAACTGACAACATTTTCCCCCTCTCACCCAAAGGATTTATATCGAGAACTTGGTTAGAAACTATTAATCTAGGAGTTAGCCCTCAATAGACCTAAATGAGAGAGTAGGATTCATGTAGTAGTTGTAAGAATTTGGGATAAAGGCTTTGCTTTTGCTGTACCATATGATCTATATCGATCTTGTATCATGGCCCATTTCTCTTGCTAACAGTTACCTAAAATTGAGATTGTGCTCTCTCCTCCCATCAAGCAATTTATCTCGTCGAACGCCTTACCCTAAATTATGTTGGTGCTGTCCCAAGAGGAAGCGATACTCCTCTTATAGCTAACAAATTTGTTTTGCTCGACACTTAGCCCCTTGGCTCCTAAAAGGCGTCAATCTAGTTTGATAGGCTCAATACAACATCCTAACCCTTTAGCTTTTGTTACAATCAACATTATCGCACTCAAATAGAACATCTGCCCAAGGAAAAAGTTCTTTGAATATTACATCTATGAAGACCTATTAGGGCCATTACACATTAACATATCTGTGACCCAAGCTCCTGATCCACAAGCGAATGATTGAGTTTGATTGCTTAAAATCATATTTGTATCTATGATTTTACATCTTGTCGAAAGTGGTTGGATCTGAATCTTGAATGTTGGATTTGAGGAGAGCTGTCTCAGATCTGAATAGTTGCAGCCTTGTATACAAAGGATACTTGAAATCAAAACAAACTTCTCGACCTCACCTTAATATCCATGACAAAAAGACCTAATTTAGTTTTGGATTCAAGGAAGTAAGGAAGAGGGGAGAAGGACAACAATATAAGCATCATAACACCGTCAACGATCCTCTCCCTGTTGCACTTACCAAACACTTCTCGACCTCACCTTAATATCCATGACAAAAAGACCTAATTTAGTTTTGGATTCAAGGAAGTAAGGAAGAGGGGAGAAGGACAACAATATAAGCATCATAACACCGTCAACGATCCTCTCCCTGTTGCACTTACCAAAC